GCGGTACCAAGGTATATAAAATCTTTAACTACCTCGAAGCTGTAGTTCTCAAGTTCCACAGTTGGTCCGAGTCTATTGGACGTCTTGCGCGTTGGTACCACCCGCTTGGTCTTCTCGCCGTTTCCTGCCAGGCCCACTTTGGCATACTCCTTCTCAATTTCTTCAAAGGTGGCTGTTACCGCTCGCAATGTTCGACCCAATATATCGAAGTCATAGACGTAGGTGAGTAACATGTGTTGTTTGGTATACAGAATGCCATTTCTGTTCACCTTTGCAAACTGTCATCTTGTCTGAATCCTCGTTCGGTATTGAAGGGCTCCGATAGGTCCTTTCCGACTTTAACTGCTGCCCGTGTGCCACTTAAAGTTATCCTGCATAGCCGTATTAATTTTGCAGGAATGCCGAATGTACCATGGCCCTATCCGTTCAGAGGTGTGAACGGATAGGGCTGTTGAATGCGGCTTTATAGTCGACGAATAGGTGGAATGTGTCGATGGGTCTTTTCCAAGATTTGGCATAGAGTGAAAATCTGGTCAATGGTGGATTTGCCAGGTCTGAAGCCACATTGGTATGGTCCAATATTGTCATTGACCATTGGCTTTAATCGTTCACACAGCACATTGGATAGCACTTTATATGCGATGGGAAGAAGACTAATTCCTCTATAGTTTGCACATCTCGTCTTGTCACCTTTTTGGGCTCTTGAAAAATTAGTCTTTAATAAATCCACGCCTTGTATTGACCCTGAAAAATTATTCTTTAAAAAATCCATGCCTTCTATAGTCTATCATTTCAAAAATTATTCTTTATTGTGGATTATTGTATATTTTTTTTAAACAAAACCAATATTTTTAAAACAATTTGAAACAAAAAACACAAAACCTTTTTTTTCAAAATATTGTCTCGGTTGTTTTATTTTGCCGGTAGTTCAATACACTTTGCCAAGAAATTTTCAAAAACAACAGACAATTTCTGCGTTTGTTTTATATATAATCTTTTGTTACTTTTTTTGCCTTTTGTTGTTACACTAAAATAAAATAGAAACAAGCAAAACAAAAGAAGAAAAAATCCCCTTATAACCGCACACAGCGAATTTCGCACAAACTGAATACTGCGAAAGCAAAACAAATCAAGTTCAAGATTATCAGTTTTTTTATGTCGTCGTCGTCGCGCTATTATGTTATTCTCTTTTTCCCATCTCGCACATGGCGTGTTTATTTTTCAACATGTCTTTGCCCCCCTCTACTTGCCCCCGTTTTGGCATATTCATGAATGCTACCCTCCTTTGCCCCTTTTTTAATGACCCCCACCACATAAATGATGGAACGAGCAAACATATGATTTTTAAGATTTATTCATCATACCACTTGTGCATGGTGGTGGCGGTCGGACCACATCTAACCAGTTCGTCATCTTTTCACAAATTATGAATATTTTTTTGCGCGGAAATATTGTTCTAATTGTGAGATGAAATAAAATTATTCTATAGAAGTGCTTTGATGATAAGATAAGTACAACTAAATAAAATAATTTATAGAAGATAAGGGGGTCGACATCAGAACTGAATATTTATATATGTGGAATTGAGTATATAATTATCTATTCTGTTCTGGTTTTTCGGTCTGTTCTAACATGCGTGGTAATTTATAATATTTGGTACCTCATTAGAGAACTTGATTGGGGTTATCTGTCATTACTTTTTTGGTGAAAGTTAGGGTTGATTGATTTTTTTGTTCGTGGCACTTATGTGGTGAAAATGTCTTATAATGGATATATATTGATGGCGAGGGCCCCAGGTGAAGTCAATTTTGCAAAAAGATAACATAATTAGCTATTTTCTTCTTTTCTGTTAATTAGACAGTCCAACAGAATTGTCTACAGACAATTTCAGGTTTGGAAAATAAATAGAAGCCCAATTCATTTTTATTTAGATCCCCTAGAAAATTATCTTTAAAAATGAACACGGTAAATCCTTTGAAAAAAATATTCGATTCTAGTTGCCATCATATCACTGTGGCTGGAATTTGAAAGAAGCATCAAAGTTAGTTCTTTTTTACCTACTACATATACAGGTTTTTACCTTCTCTCCAGTGGATATGGTGAAAATCGTTAAATTTTTGCATCTTAATTCGGTCACCTTATTCTTGTAAAAGTATTGTTCCTTGATGAGCAATTTAGCAGCTACTGCCTTGTAATTATGCAGATTAATCTGCTCCATGTTTAACGCTTGCTGTTCGTTAGTGGCTTAGTCGAAATTGTATTATCCCCATTAATCGCCGTTATTTTCAAATAAGCTCAGGGTCCTCCATTTCTTCATCTGAAGTCCGTCATTCTGCTTTTCTAACATCCTCAGCGTTTTCTCCTGCCTGTCCCATGAGTAATGGTGGGATCCACACTGAGGCAACCAGCTTCCAGCTAGCTACCTTCACAAAGAGTATCACTGTTGTTAATTGTGCTCATAAGGAAGTCCGAGGACTTCTTAGTTCTAGAATTAACAATTCAGATCCCCTTATATAAGTTGTTCTGGTCGAACCTAATTCGTGTAAGGTATTCTGACGACCAACTTCGTCGTTCAGGAAGAAGTCCTCCATGTATCTGTCGACTAGCACAACCAGTGATATTCGTTGACACACCCATCAGGGTCAGCTCGATCCATGATCGCCACTCGAAGACCTTATGGAACTGCTGGTGGTTGAAAAGCATGGTCGCTAAGCACCGGTTTCACGGCTTACTACTTCGGTTTTGACTTTCAACTCACCTTTACCGCTCTTGGCAGCATCCTCCATTGACGTGACGAAGCCGTTTGCCGTGCATCTAATGACTGCGTGGGTCTCTTTGTAACAGATTGCTGCTCATCCGAACACCTCATTCTCTTTACTGCTATTGATTGTGTTCGGGATTCATTCGCCACTTTCGGTTTTTTCAGCAACAACTGATCAATGGTCATTACCCTTGATTTGGGTTTTGAAAATTTTTTTGTATTTACTCAGTTTTCCTTCGGACAGACTTTGACACTTCTTTGCCATGCATCACAGTGGAGGATGTTGTCAGGGACTTCTCAACACTCAGAGATGCCTAGGTGGGTGCTTAGTGGTCAGAAAATTCATCCATCATCATCCCTCCTTGGCAGTGAATGATGGTGTCAGGGTCTTATCAACACTCAGAGATCCCTTAGAGGGTACTGTGCTCAGACCACTCACTGTCTTATCCTATTTTATAGGGAGGGATCACTGTGTTTGAAATAACACGCGAAGTCGAAATATTTTCAATTAAAAAGTCCCACGCAATGTCATTCGAATAATTTCGAGATAACTTCGGAATGAATTTGAGATTCCTGTTAATCAGAAGGAATTCGTTGCCTTGCAAAAAGGGGACTTGTAAAAAGTTCCTGTCCCGTCCGATAAACCGGTGGCAAAAGTTAACTGCTCTCCGGTAAATCTTTTTGTCAGAGATGTCTTTGGCACTGATGCGTTTGGTGGTTGTTGTAGGTGACAGAAGTGCTGGTGAATTCTCGAGACTTCACCGTGGAGATGAAGCTGAGATTTTCATTCACGGCAGATATTGCGTGCTTTCTGATCATCGTAGAATACTCACCTTGGTCATCAGTCCAACCTTTATATACATCGTTGCCTTGTTGACAATTTTTGATTCGAACCTGCTTACAGATGCACTTTGGTTGCAACTAATACAGGTTACAATCTTTTTAAACCTGAAATAGAGTAGGTCAGAATCATACAAATTTTTGGATCTTACACCATTCATATACACTATATAATGGAGATTCTCTTTTCACATCTTCCACCGACCGCTGCATCTCATGATCGACGGGGTTCCAAAGATGACGTCACAATTTCCATTTGTTGCCACTTTGATGTTTCGGATAACATTATCATAATTGAGGTTCGGAAAGCTGTTAAACAGTGTAATTTAGTTCAATTTTAAAAAACTTCCCAATTCAAGTTCTCTTTAACCTTCATTTGGTCATTTGATAAATATTTACATTTCCTCTGTTTTTAGATTTAGTCCATATTTGTTTGAATGCCGTCAACAAAACACAACACTACACATATGGTAGATAATAATCCATACATATGTATATAATATGTATGTACATCTGCTATTATATATATGTTTGGATGGTTGTTTATAACATTACCGGTATTTCTATATTTCGTTTTTAATGCGAATTAAAAAAAACCATCAGCTGCTGGCTGGCACATATATCAGGCCACCTTTTGTTACCACCAAAACGATTCCTGTCATTCTCTTTCATTTTCTTCTATTCTCCATGGCGGCTACTCTCATCATTGTCATATGTTTATAACTGTTTGGAGAGTTTAGTTAGTCTCTCATTTGTGGTATATTTCACACACACAGAGAGCTTTTTTGATGTTTCCCCCAAAAGAAAACTGAATGTTTTTTTTTTGTTTTAATACGAATGGATGTTGTGTGTGGGCACATACAACCACATTAATATAACATGGAGAAACAACACGCCACTCGGAGGTCTCTCTGCATGGTTGTTTTATTTCTCTCCACACAAATTGACTGACGTACGCGAGCTTACTCTGTTGCGGTGGGTTAACGTCATTTGTGAACACAACAAGAAGAAGAACTTTTTTGTTTATAGTAGTTGGTTGGGTTGTTGGTTGCATCGTATGATTTTATTCCTGTTAGTTTTTGAGCAGCACGCCACACTGATAGGCAGCCATCCAGCTGGACGTGGATAAACTCATATGAGGAGTATACCTACATACTTATATATATTGAAGAAAGGCTAGCAAAAAAAGTTTACAAAAAACAAATACAACAATAAAGAACCGAGAGGTTATTGTATGTAGAAGAAGAACAAGAAGGTTATCAGGATTTTTGCTTCACGAAACTAACTGCTGTGGTGTACCTGTACCTCTCCTATATTCCTGCTGCCAACAAGACGTATATATAAATATACATTGAGCGAAGTGCGTGTGTTTGTATGTGCATGATAAATTAGTGAAAAATTTTTGTTGGCTTTTTTTGGTATTCATTATTTGAAGAACTAAGAAGCGAAAGGTAATACATTTTTTTTATTAAACAATTCTGCCAACAAAAATTAAAAAAAGAAACAAAATTTAAAAGAAAATTGCAACAATTTTTAATATCCTTAAAAAGTGAATCACATAATTAACGGTAAAATAAAAAGTGACAACAACAACAAAAATTTGATATACTTGAAGCAAACATTCAGGCATGCTGCTGCCTGTCTGTCTCACGACTCATTCAGCTGTATTACTTAATCGTCCATTAAAAGACAATTTTGCAAATTAATGGCAATTTTTTTCACACCTGAATGAATATTAAAAAAACAAGTCTCGTTTTTTTATATAAATGTAAATTATTATTATCACCTTTAATTAATTTGTATGCGTTTTTTTTTCTTTTCTTGTCTTTATAGCAATATGCCGCCAAACGCCGCTCCCCCCACTCCAGCATTGACTGAATCCCTATTGGCCAGTGCCAATATCGATGGCGCTAATCCCAAAGTTTTACATGAAGCCACAACTGGTGTCTTGTTCGAACAGGATGCCGAAACCATTGACGGTGGCTTAGTTAAGGATATTGAAAAATTGAAAAAGGCCGAAAAACGTAAATTGAAATTGGTATGGCGTAATATCATCGCATTTGGCTATCTACATTTGGCTGCCTTATATGGCGCCTATCTAATGTTTACATCAGCCAAATGGCAGACCATTATTTTTGGTAAGTTGCAAAAACATTTTTAAACAAACTGTAAAAAATAATACCTATATTTTTAATTTAAGTCTATATATTTGCAAAATCAATTTGATTACTTGGAATATTTTTTTTTTAATTGGGAATTGGTGTGCCATTTTTGATGTACTCTAACTTAAAGGCAAAGTGACTAACAAATTTTGTGGAGTCCCTTGACTTTATATCCGACGAGAGAAAACAATTTGAATATGAGAGGATTTAAGTGTAGGCTTAAGAACGTGGATCGGTAGCCAATCTGTTTGAAATGATGACCATATGTGGATCTAGAGACAATTATTACAACGATATACCGTCCAAATCGCTTATAACGACGGTCGCAATAGGCGATATGTCGTTATAAACGATATCAAATAAAGGCCTAATTTTTCTCGAGACTTGGGATACAGTAGATGTCGATGTCGTTATTACTAGTAGAGACGACTGGAACCGGAGTAATCCTTCTCTGGACGGTCTGGCTTTCTATACAGACGGATCCAAGATGGAAGAAGGTACAGGGGCTGGCGTCTACTGTGAAAGGCTACGCCTTGAGTTATCCTACAAGCTGGATTGCAACGATAGGGTTTTCAAGCTGAAATCTTCGCAGTTTGGAAGGCAGCGGAATTGATAAAAAGTCTGGATGCAGAGGTGTTTGTACCGGTGACTATCTTCGTGGATAATCAAGCGGCTCTTAAAGCCATCAAATGTTGTTATATCAAATCTGAGATCGTCCTCAAGTGTAGAACAGCTTTGGAAGAACTTACACCGTGACATCATGGCTTATAAAAGAACAGACGAATTAGCAAGAAGAGGATCTCAATCCACAGATGTAGCAATTGATGACTCAATCAAACCACCCATATATCATCTTTATCGGAACTTTGTGGCGTTCTTAGATGAAAAAGCCTATGAACTTTGGCACAACGAACCTAGGTGCAATGTCTCAAGATCTATTTGGCCGACTCTGTCTACCAAAAGGACAAACTTACTGTTGAACCTGAGTAAAGCTGAAATAAGAGAAATGACAGGAATCATTACTGGGTCATTGCAATATTAGGGCCTTTACTAGTAAATGGGATCATGATCCAATTAATTACTGTAGGCTCTGTGTTGACGAGGAGGAGACGGAGTTTGCTAGTAGGGAATCCTGGGCAAGTGGCTCCTTGCCACTGACCGGTCTGTCAATATTTACAGACGGGTCAAAGATAGAGGAAAGTACGGGTGCAGGCGTTTATTGCATGGAATTAGCCATTTAAAACTCATATAAACTTAACGGCCAAGAAATAATCCTGGGAATCAAATAGGACCGGTGACTACATAGGACCGGTTAATATATATGTCGATAGTCAGGCGGCCCTTAAGGCACTCAAGTCGTGCACTACTAACTCAAAAACGGTTCGCAAGCAAGGATACTTTTCATGGAATACGACAGATAGTTAAATTATGTTGAGTTCCCGGGCATAGCAACATAGAAGGGAATAATATAGCCGAGGAGCTTGCTCGAGAGGTTTCACACAACCTCCCATTGACTACTTTATTGTCAAAATCCGATGGTCAACATAGCCTGAATGCAGGATTCCAAAAAACATCTGGCCAGTATTCTCTTGCCATAGAACTTCTTCGCTGTTGTCTCATAGTAAGAAGAAAATTTAAATCGTTGTGAGGATCATAACAGGTCCCTGCAGGATCGTTATATTTAAGATAGAGCTCTAAAATTTTACACCGACATTGCTAGTACTCCTAGAATGTTTGTGTTATTGCAAGTGGGATGCACGGACCACGTTTTGGTGTAGCCGATACTCCCCAATATTTACATACTCATTGGGTGTCAAATCTCACCACCAAAAATTATTAATATTGATCCAAATTTCAGGGTAGCCCCGATATAGAGGAAACCCAGAATATTCGTTATTTGGGGATTTTGTATACGTTTTCAACCAAATTTGTTTGTAATTTTGTATTTTATATTCTCATTATGTTTGAAATCTAACAATATTGACCCAAGTTTCTGGATGGCCCCCATATAAAGGTACACCCCAATATTCTATACTTTTTGATTATGGATTTGTTTTTTAACCGAATTGACTGCAATTTGGTATTTTGTATTCTCATTGGGTATCAAATCTCCCTACCAAAAATTATTAATATTGACCCAAGTTTCAGGGTAGCAACCATATAATGGTACACGACAGAATTCGGCATTTTATTATATTTTATTTTTTTTTAGCACATCTCTCAACCCAGTCGGCTGTAATTTGGTATTTTGGGTTCTTATTGTGTTACACATATCCGTATCAAAAATTATTGGTATTGACCAAAGTTTCAACAAAGTAGCCCCCATACAACGTACCCCCATATTCGGTATTTTGAGTTCGTAGTCCCCATATAATGGTACCCCAAAATATTCGATATTTTTGGAATTAGGAATTTATTTTTATTTTGGCTTCCCATTGTAAAGCACATCCCTGATTAAAAATTGTTAATATTGAACCAAGTTTCAGGGTACCCCACATCTTTGGACTAAAAATTATTAATATTGACCCAAGTCGGCATTTTGAGAATTTTTGAAAGGTTTTCCAACCGAATTGGATATAACTTTGTATTATAATTGACTGTCAAATATCACTACCGAATATATTTCGCTACAAAATATCGCTCCCTATTTTTGTATAGTCCCATTTAACAGTAGTCGCACTATTAGGTATTTTGAGAATTTAAATCAGCTTTTTCTCACGTCTTTTTCGTTATGTTCAAGGTCCTACAATAACATGAGTTTTCTCCTAAGAGCCCCTATTAATTTTAGCTATTTTGAATGTCATTAATTTTAGATATTCGAATGGTTATAAATAAATTTCCTTTCTCTATACTATATACAACTTCGATAGCTTCACCATAGATTCTGACTGACGATCTTTCTTCCAGATACTATTTATATATAGCAAAAGTACTACTTGAACGTACACAACAATGAAAAAAAACGCGAACCAATTAATTATGGAAAAAATTTTCCACCTTTGTGTTAAATTTGTTGACCCCAAACAACACCTTTGTAAACAATTTATTGTTGTTGCGTTTTTTGTTTAAATAGTGATTCTACATTATTTTGCAGTTTATTGACTTGCTGCTGCTGCTTTTCTTTCAATATTATAGAACTGTAATAAAAATAACAATTTCAATTATCTGTTACGTTGGATGACGCAAATTAAGCGATTCGAATTGTTTTCAATACGTAGAAGAAGGTATGGAATATTTTTCTTGTTTTATATAGATAACACTATAACTATTTTTTATGGATCGTGGTTCCATAATAAGTAGTAATGAAAGTGATCAGCAGAAGTCAGGAAAATTATATTACAAAAAAGGAAAGGGGAAATTGTAATAAATTGAGTATTTAAAAAATCAAGAATTAATATGGACATTCTTTCAATATTGATAATTAAAAATCCGATTTTATAACCATATCAATCAATCCTAAATAACAATAGGTAACTTGTATTTGACGGTTGAATATTTCTCACACCATTTCTAGAATCTTTGCTGTATTGATTTCACTTTCATATTTCCCTCTCCCCCTGATCCTTTACTGAAAGATTCGAAATAATTGTTTTGTAAACAAACTTAACCATTATTATTAGGTTCAATAGTCCAAATATTGTTAATTGTTAATTTATTATATGGTTATTAATAACTATGATATAAAATCGTACGTATAATTAAATTGATATTTCTAATAATTGCCTATTTGAGAGATTTAAATATTTAATTTAGACATGAAATTAGTTGCCTATAGATAATCTACTACGTAACTACCATTAAGTGATACATTGGAATATAAATCGATATAAAAATTATTTCAAAATTTAATATTAATATGACGAGATAAAAATCAATTAATTTTTTCTTCTTCTTCCATTTTCTCATTACAGCTTTTGCTTTATATGTTGTGTCCGGCCTGGGTATTACGGCCGGTGCTCATCGTTTGTGGGCCCATCGTTCGTACAAAGCCAAGTGGCCACTACGTTTGATTTTGATGATTTTCAATACAATTGCATTCCAAGATGCTGCATATCATTGGGCCCGTGATCATCGTGTACATCACAAGTATTCGGAAACCGATGCCGATCCACATAATGCTACTCGCGGCTTTTTCTTTTCGCACATTGGCTGGTTGTTGTGCAAGAAACATCCCGAAGTTAAGGCCAAGGGCAAGGGCGTCGATCTATCCGATTTGAGAGCTGATCCCATTATTATGTTCCAAAAGAAGTGAGTAGAAGAAATGAAATTAATATTTAAAAATATTCTTTAAAAATCCACGCCTATGGAGCTGTTGAAATTCTTATAAATATTCTGTAAAAATCCACGCCTATGGAGCTGTTGAAATTCTTATAAATATTCTGTAAAAATCCACGCCTATGGAGCTGTTGAAATTCTTATAAATATTCTGTAAAAATCCACGCCTATGGAGCTGTTGGAATTCTTAAAAATAGTCTTTAAAATATCCATGCCTAAAGTTCTTAAAAATATTCTTTAAAAATCCTGAAAATCTTCTTAAAAACTTAATTTAAAAAACCACTCCTATAGACCTGAAAACACATATAAAAATTTAATTTAAAAAAATCATTTTAATATATTTTATTAACCTATACCTCCCCTTCTTTTCTTTTTTTCAGATACTACATGATCTTGATGCCTCTTCTCTGCTTCATTTTGCCAACAATGGTACCCATGTACCTCTGGAATGAAAGCTTTGTCAATTCCTGGTTTGTTGCCACCATGTTCCGTTGGTGTTTCATTCTCAACATTACCTGGTTGGTGAACAGTGCTGCTCATAAATTCGGTGGCAAACCCTATGATAAGTAAGTCATTTTTTATTTTGGAGACGCCCTTTCTAATATGTGTTTGTTTCTATTGTGGCAGATACATCAACCCCGCTGAAAACAAATCTGTTGCCATTTTGGCTTTCGGTGAAGGCTGGCATAACTATCATCATGTCTTCCCCTGGGATTACAAGACCGCTGAATTTGGCAACTATTCCATGAACATGACCACTGGCTTCATTGATTTCTTTGCCAAAATTGGCTGGGCCTATGATTTGAAAACTGTATCCGCCGATATCATTAAGAAGCGTGTCAAGCGCACCGGTGATGGTTCTCATGCCACCTGGGGCTGGGGTGATAAGGATCAACCTAAGGATGAAATTGATAATGCCATTATTATCAATAAGAAAGATGAATAGATTGTTAGATGAAGAAGAAGACGTCCACACAACAACAACTCACACACAGAAATCAGGGAAAAAACGAAAGGAAAAACTGTGCTCCTAAAAAACAAAACAACCAACAACAAAACTGAAAAGCTATGAGAACTAGAAGAATGAAAAACAAATACCAAAAACCAAACATTTTTAAAATGATTTCTTAAAATTACAAAACAAAACAAAAAAATCAAAAAACAAGTAAAAACAACAACAAAATGTCCTTATTGAGATGATATACAGAAAATAAAGAAATTATATATAAATAAGCTGCTAAAACAAAACCCAAAACCAGTGAATTCCAAGAAAACAAATGATTGTTTGCATGCACTGATCTCACCACCTAAATAATTAATTAACACCACCAAAAGCAAATTCACCAGCAGCAAAAAATAGCTAAATCAGTCACATTTTTGGGGAAAAAGCAACAGCAACAATTGCAACGCATATATCACATGTTTTTGTCCTTTTGTTTTTGTCGTACACATCAGTTATGTCTGGCACATGAATGAATGAATATTAACTCCTTAGCTAGCCCCCAAACAGCTACCACAACTCATTATCAAACATTCACCATACATCCATACTCCCCATGATGTCCATCATCAATACCAAGTGAATGTAATTTTCTTGTAAAGGAAAACAAAAAACCTGGAATCAAACCAAAATCATTATTAATAATAATTATACTAACAACAACAAAAACAACTTTTTATTATTGTGTAATTGTAAAATCTAAATATACATAAAAATAACAAAGATAAAAAGCAACAACAACTAACACCTATCAACACGTTAACGGAGAAGAAGATAAAATCGAACGAAAAAAATCTCTGAAAAGCCCACAAACGTGTCCTAGCAATTAAGAATCAATCCTATCCTTGCAGAAAACCCCCTATCCTCCTGGAGATGTGTGTAAAAGAAAACTTGCAAAAGACATCTTAAAAAAACAAGAAAAGGAAATACCAAAAAGCAACATAACAGCTAAACCGAGGAAGATGTTCTCCCCCAAAAAGAAGAAAATCAAACTCCATAAAAAATGCTGCACATTTCCCCGGAAACAATAGGCGGCGAGCTTTAAAAACCAAACAACCAACAAAAAACCTGTAACTTTTATTGAATTCAAAATGCTCTTTTTCAATTTTTGTTCCCTTTTTCTTTCTTCACTCAAAGGAAAATTTTGCTATTATTACTATTTAAATTTTATAGATGTTGGAGAAAAAATGTTTAAAACAAGAAATGAAAACAAGGATAAACCCCCTATTACTAATATTTTTCGTATTATTATCATTATAATTATAATTATTATATACATATATAAAAAATAACTTGTTATCATAATATCATTCCTCTACCATTCCCCCTTAATTATCTCCCTTCTTTCCAGCCCAAATTCTACCCCCCTCCAATTCGTCTGAGATGATTGGTGATCCCTAAATCTTTTTTTTTTCTAAAAAAAAAACACTCACAAAAATTTGTTGTTATTATCTCTATAAAAATATGAATAAAAACAAACAATAAAAATAATAAATAAAAAATAAATGTTTAATATGTGTAGTTTTTTGTATGTATGTCACAGATCAATAAATCTTATGAATTTTTAACAAACGATCCCAAGAAGTGTGAAAATGGAAATGATGATGAGAAGAAACCTCAACAACCTACAAAATTCATTCTTCATTATTATCTAATAGCAAAACTTTGATGATTGTATACCTAACTTGTCATACATACTTACAAACATTCAAATTACCCACTAATAATAACAACAAACAAAAAATTAATAATACCAGAAAAAAACCGAAATAAAACCCTATTGGATACCAACATTTGTTAGAGCTCTTGAAAGAAAAAAAATAAATAAAAAAACCCAAACAAAACCAAAATAAAAAATTCGAATTGTGTTTTTATTTCTTTAGTTGAGACAGGTTTTAAATTGAAGTTTTTAAAAATATTATCTCCTGTAGGGTTGTTGAAGTTTTTAAAAATATGCTTTAAAAATCCACGACTGTAGGGCTGTTGAAGTTTTTAAAAATCCTCGCCTGTAGGGCTGTTGAAGTTTTTAAAAATATTCTTTAAAAATGCACGCTTGTACGGCTGTTGAAGTTTTTAAAAATCCTCGCCTGTAGGGCTGTTGAAGTTTTTAAAAATATTCTTTAAAAATCCATGCCTGTAGGCCTGTTGAAGTTTTTAAAAATATTCTTTAAAAATCCACGCCTGTAGGGCTGTTGAAGTTCTTAAAAATATTCTTTAAAAAATCCGCGCCTATTGGGCTGTTGAAGTTCTTAAAAATATTCTTTAAAAAATCCACGCCTATTGGGCGTTGAAGTTCTTAAAAATAATCTTTAAAAATCCACGCCTAAAGGGCTGTCGAACTTAATAAAAATATTCTTTAAAAATCCACGCCTAAAGGGCTGTCGAACTTAATAAAAATATTCTTTAAAAATCCACGCCTAAAGGGCTGTTGAACTACTACTTTTAAACTTTTCGAAGTTTTAATTTGGTTAGAAGCTTTTTTTATTCGCTCTTTTTTATTTTTATTTTTGTTGAATTTTAAGTTTTGTTTTAATTATAAAATACAAATAAACTAGAATCCGACATTAATAACAATTATATTACAGTTATATAAATAAATTATTTCTTCTCCTTCTTTTATTCTTTTGGTGTTGGTTCAGGTTCATCGGATTTTTTCTTCTTTTCGGCTTTTTTCTTTTCTTTTTCCTCCTTAAGGCGTTTCTCTTCTTCAATTCGTGCACGTTCTTGGGCTTGTTTTTCCGCCTCCTTTTGGGCAGCGGCTTCAGCGACCTGCTGATCATCCCAATCGGCCATGGATTTGTCACGTTTCAACCATGAATCACGATTGTCGTCCTTGAAGGCTGTACACAAAATAAGGATATCATTCGTTACGATATTCAAACCATCTTTAAAAGACCTACTCACTTTGAGTAAACCATGTGATGCCCTCCTTCATTTGATCGATCATATCCTTGGATGTATACATAATTTCATTTTGTATAGCTTGATGGAAATTGGCCGCTTCGAAAACTGAGGAATACAACGAATTCCGATCATGATTCAGGGCACTTTGTGGGAATTTCGCCAATGTGTGAGCCAATTCCAAGGCTTTAATCAAAGCATTTCCAGTGGGTACAATACGATTGACCAAACCAATGGCATGTGCCTCCTCGGCATTAACTTGCCGCCCGGTCAATATCAGATCGAGGGCACGTGCAAAGCCTATCATAGCCGGTAGACGAGCAGTGCCTCCATCAATGACAGGAACACCAAAACGACGATTAAAGAATCCCAACACTGCCGATTCTTCCATAACACGTAAATCACACATCAGGGCCAATTCCAAGCCGTTGGCAACACAATAACCATTGATGCCACACACCACGGGTTTGTGTAAATGACGTCGGGTGGGACCCACTGAGCCTTCAGGCATCATTAACATTTCCATGGATACTTTGCCCTCATCATTGGCAGCCATTTCCAAAATATCAAAACCCGAACAAAAACTACCACCCACACCATAGAGCACAGCAATGGGTGAGGTTTCATCCGCTTCAAAGGCACTGAAAGCCTCACACAACTTGGCTGCTGTTGCGGCATTAATGGCATTTCTCTGTTGCGGCCTATTGATGCCAATCATGGTAATGTTTTTCTCCTTGTCCACCAGTACGGTTTTCTCCTCAGCTTGACCTTTTGGAAATCAATAAAAAGCAAAGCTGCTAAATTATGTCATGCCAAAGCAAAGTGTAACCGACACCACTTACCTTCACTGCCATCATGTAGACACTGGGTTGTGGATATTGTCCTCTGTCCAAGGGTCTTTTTAAGGTTACCTCCTGACCGGCATATTTGTCTGGTCAATTGTCGCAACATCATTTCTCTTTGCTTTGCAATTACTTCGATCCGATTCCGGCCTTTTACATAGAGTTGAGTAGTTCCGGAACGGAACGAGCTAGTTCATTGAACTATTCCGAGAAAGGAACGATCGGAACTAGTTCCAGCTCTTTAATTAATATAGTTCCTTTTTCTGATCCAGTTCCTTTTTTGAACTATTTGAAGCAAAGGAACTATAAAGAGCAAAGGAACTGTATGGAGTAAAGGAACTATATGGAGCAAAGGAACTATAAAGAGCATATGAACTATATGGAACATAATTCCTTTGCTCCAAACTATATGGAGCAGAGGAACTATTTGCACCAAAGGAACTATAAAGAGCAAAGGAACTGTACGGTGTAAAGGAACTATATGGAGCAAAGGAATTGTATGGAGTAAAGGAACTATATGGAGCAAAGAAACTACATTATGGAACTAGTTCCTTTTTAAAAAAGAAACGAGAAAGATCGATCCGCTAAGTGAACTAGATTGTCCAATTCTAAAAATGTTTCCAACTGTTCTGGACTTTTTCACTTCACGGTTGTACAATGAACTCATTTTGGCTGCACTTAATAACGCGCATTGACTCGTGCCAAAGTTAAACAAATTTTAACTTTCGGCGTCATGGCGCGTATTTAACTTTTTACATTTTTATCATGGTATAATAATAGAAGGTAACAGCAAGTGTTGTTGTACAAAAAACGATACAACAACAACATGGAAATTTGTTGTTGTAAGTCCTACTAGTGTCAACTCATTTGACAGAAAAATGTAAATAAACAAACAAATAATCATCAAATTATTTTTATTTTGAAAATTAACTTTTTTCAAATCCTCAAAATAAAAATTGAAAAACATGAATGAAAATCAAATCAAATTTATATTTCTATCTATTCCACATATTTCCTATAATTGAGCCATTGCCATATATGTGTAACACATATGAAAATGCTGGGAATAGCGAGTTATTCCTTGAAGAAAGATTTGCTTCCTCAAACGTTCCCAGCAGGCAGATTGAGTAAATTGAATACAGGAGCACATTTAATAAAAAACAAATTTAAATTGTATGCGTTCCCAATTTTCCTGTTGGGTGATTTTTAAAAACATAATTTGTCAAATTCATATTGACACTAGTATTACGTTGGAATCAAATCAGCTGGGATTTGCTGT